TGAGCTGCTCATACCTCTGCCTGCAGAAGCAGGCCTGATCCCTCAGAGGACGCCAGATGCCTGCCCTCCCTGGGCTCTCCCTTCTCAATGCCTTTCCATACTGTTCTCTCTTTATAGAATGCTGTTCCCTGTAGCACCACTTTTCAAACTCCCACTCATGTCTCAAGGCACAACTCAAATCTCTCTTCCAAGCCCTCCCTTTTAGACTGTTTTACCCCTTCTCTTGGCTCCCTCAGTTTGTCTGGGACGTTTACCTTAGCATGGCCTGTTTTACAGGTAGTTCTAAGTTCTCCATGGGGTTTTGTGGAGGAGTGTCGGTGCGTAGTAAATGTTCAATAACTGTGAGTTCTCTCTCCTGGATTAGGAATTTCCGGCCTGGCACATGATGGTGCACACACACAAAATCCTGAATTGTTAAGGCAGGGACAGGCCTAGGCTTGCAACCCTGGCCCCAAATGGCTGAGCAATTGCTCGAGGGCAGATGCTAAATTGCGTGCTGCGCTGAATGTCAGAGGGTGCAGGGCCAACTGCTCCCTCCCCACCCGTCCCCTCCTGGTCGCCAGAGTAGGAGTGTGAGAATCACACTCAGAAGCTGCTTGTTCTGAAAGCTCCACTCTCACCCCGCCCTTGTTCCCCAGTCCCCATTGCACTCTGCCTCTCCTCCTGTCTCTCCAGGTGTGATAACTTGGACAGGCCCAGGCTATGTAGCTTCTTTGTTTTAAATATATATGTACATATATATATATTCATTGTAAGAGTAATACAAACAACTTACAGAAAATTGGAAAAAAAAACCTACAGAAAGCTGAAAGGAAGAGAGAGAAATTGCCTCTAGTGCAATCGCATGGAGAGGTGGGCATTCGGTGAACATCACTTCTGCCTCTTCAAAGAGATTCCCGGGGGTTCCCACACAGCCGTGTGGGTGCCAAGGGCACTGACTCAGAGATTCGGGTCAAGAGGCAAAGGGCTGGGTGGGCAGGGAGGGGCAGCACTGCCCACTTTGACTTAAGCAAGTGTGTTTCCTTGTGATCTTTCCTCTCTGAGTATTTGATCGTGATCCTCCTGCACTGAGCGCTTTCAAAAGTGTAGTTAACACAGTGTTGTTCACAGGATCTGGAAGAAATCTATTTTCCAGAAGGGCAGGGACAGGCCACACTTGCCAATGGGTGGTTTATAATTAATCATTCCCATTAAAAAAAAAAATAGTGACTCAGTCTTAAAGATTCAGAAAACCATTACTCAGGTTCCTTGGCAGAGGAAGTGGCCATTATGTTACTCCCGAAGCTCTGCTTTAGTGGAAGAGAAAAAAAAAGTCTTTTTATCTGCCATTTCTCTGAGCTGCCCAAATACTCTGGCCATTGTTAGTGGATTCAGGAACAGAACAGCCCCTGCTATTGTTCAGCTGGTCACTAAACAGGGCCAGGGCTTCCATCTGAACTGGGGGTGAGGGAAGTGACCAGAGAAACATATTTCCTGGAACTGGCAAAGGCAGAGCAGGAAAGGGAGTCCCCTGTCACTCCAGGCTCATGGTTTCTTTCCTCAGCATCTCCTGGTTATGACAAGCTGGCTCCCCTGGTCTCTGGTGTAAGGATTGCCCACTGCACAACCACCGCATAGACCACGGTGTCCCATGTCTTGGGGGCTTCTGAGGGTTTTTGCTGTAGAGGCCCTGTCCCTGTGGGCACCTCTTTCTTAGGCCCACATTAACCATTTATTAAGCACCTACTGATTTCTCTGATGAGTGCTAGCAAAAGCTCACAGTCTCATAGTAATAGTTGGGCATGGGGACCTGTATATATATTAAGGACGGTGCCATGTGAAATGTGCCAGTGAAAGGACGAGCCTGCCATGGTCCTTGATCCCTACTTGGACTCTCAGGCCACCTGTCTGGTGTCTGTTGTGTATCAGTGCCTTGTGAGTTCTGATTTTTGCTCATCAGCTGATGGAGGGGTATTGTAAGCACTGCACAATGGGGCCACCCACCAGAAGACTGTCCTATTTTGGCAGCATCTCCATCTTTGTTCCTACAGTGGTGGTAATTTGTGCATGAACTTGACATCCATGTTACATTTTGTCCTTATAGCCGCTTTATCAAGTGGAAAATGGGAAAGTGAAATTATCAATATAGTGATTCAAAGTGTCAGTGGGTCTTCTAAACCCTACCTGATTCAGGCATAGATGGAATTCAGTATGTGGACCATAGGTGGTAAGCTGTAGCCTCTGTCAGGTGCACATCGGACTTAAACACATCGGACTGTGTGTCATTTATGAAGGAAAAGGACACGTGTGACACTTACACATACTAGAACCAGCACCTCTACTCAGGGAAATTCTGGTGCAAATGCACCAAGAGCCACATTTGAGAAAGTTGTTAGCACACTCTGATTTAGCAAAACACTGGAAATGACCCAAACCTCCCTCAGCAGGAGAATGATATAGTTGCCTAAGGGGTATTGTTGCCCAAGGGAAAATGAATGAACTATAGCTACATGAATCATAGAAACATAATGAATGACAAAAGCATGTGACAGAAGGCTACTAAATACAAACCATTTATATGAACTCAAATACCAAGCAAAGTGAAGAAAAATGCAGGGATCCATGAGTAGTTAACCTATTTTTCAAACTGAGGGAGTGATAAGCCCAAAATGAAACACCATGTGAGCAGGGAGGCTGGGGGATGCAGGAGCACTGAGGGAGCACCGAGAGGAGGCGGTGATCGTGCTAGTGGTAAGGTTGGTAGGAGCTCGGAGTGTTTCATGCTTCGTAACTTTCATGTATATTATAGGTATTCATTTGCATGTGTTCAATATTATACAGTGCATTTTAAAACGGTATTTGAAATGCTGGGAATATATGATTGAAGATTATGTTTGAAAGGTGTGCTGCTGTTAGGGCTTTTCAGACCACTTTTAAGCCCAGTGGGCGTGGAAGTGCCCTCAGTGGACTTCCACACCGGCCTTCTGAGGATCGGGATTATGCTACTGTTGAGGGGAGCCCTGTGCCCACTGCCCCAGTTCTGCAGCAGTGAATGCATGTTACTGCCCCAGTTCTGCAGCAGTGAATGCATGTGCCATCTCCTGTCCTTGAGGACAGGGTCTCTCTGTCGCCAAGCTGTGTCCTGTTCATTGGTGCCTGGCTCTGGGGGTCTCCTCAATGTCTGTTGAATGAAGGACATTTGGCCTGTGGTGGGGGACAGTGAGGCAGAGGGATCTAAGGAACCTGCACATACTCACCCGGGTGCAGCATGAGATTCCACCATTCTTCTCACCCGAAGTCCAAGGCTCTGGGAGTGAAGAGAAAGAAACCTTAGATGACCAGCTGCTACCCTGCCCTTGCATCTGTCTCTTATCTGCCAGCCTCGAGGCAGAGGGTGCCAGGGTGGAGGACTCTGGCTCCAAGTGATAAAGTGAGAAGGAAGCTGGGAGGGAGTCTGTAGCCAGGGAGGGCCCAACGCCAGGCAGAAGTTATCACTGTCCCTCTGATGCCCATGTCCCTGGTCCCTGGACTATGGTCAGCTGTCGGTCCGGACAACCAGCCCCTCTGGCTTTGGGAGGGTTATCCTCCTGGGAGTCACTGGTCCTTCATCCCTCCTCTCTGACAGCTACCTTATATGGGGCACGAAGAGGGACAGTCAGCTAAGTGTGTGTCAGGGAGACAGTGGGGCTGGTCCTTCAGACCCAGGAGCACAGGCGGGAGGTCAGGTCAGATGCCCAGGCTGTTGCTGGGTCTTTTGGAAAATCTTTGACCAGATTTATTGCTGCTGTTTGCTAATAAATGGTTACACATTTCATCTGAAGGACCAAGTGTGCTTAATGTGAAAACTCGCTGTACTCCGCGGTTTCAGTTCCCTCAGCTGACTGGACTAATTTAATGAAGACTAATTTAAATCTTAGATTCTATGGATCTATTTAATTTATACTTTTTAAAAAAGTTTATTTGTTCCTTTAATCTTTAATATCCTTTCCTTGGGTAGCACACACATGCTTTTTTTCAAGGTGTGAGGAGTACATTTGTTCTTTTTTACTTTCCAATTTGGTCCCTAGAATAAAAATAGCGTTGTCCTAAGTGGATTAAGAGATAGATGTAGGGCACTGGAGGGAGCACTGAGCAGAGCTGCAAGACCTGGCTGGCATCTCCACTGTGTAGCTAAGTAGTTGGTGATCTTGGGCAAGTCTCCTGGTTCCTCTGTGCCTCAGCCACTTTCTGTAAAATGGGCCACCTATCAGGGAGGTCCTGGGATTCTGAGACTTCTTGTGTAGGACTCATGCATTTTGTGAGTCCTGCTGGGTACCTGGCCTTCCTTTCTACACCTACACGCATTCATTCATTTACATATTCATCAAGTGCTCAGTGGGCCCCTGCTAGGTGCCAGGCAATGATCTAGGCATGGAAATATAATAGAGAACAGAACTTATTCTTGTGGCACTTGGAGTCCTGAAGAGAAGACAAATAAGGACTGGTGATTGATTATAAGGCAGCTTGTGATGGGTGAGACGGTGGGGGAGGTAGCACTGAATGGGGGGAGTCTAGTGCAGTTGGGAATGGGGTAGGCCTCCGGGAAGGGACATCCAGACTGAGCCCTGCGGTAGGAGAAGGTAGTGTAGGGGTGGGATGGGGGAGAGTGTGAGAAAAGCCCGGGGAGCCTGCGGGGGAGGGGCTCTGTCCCTTCTAAGGCAGAGTGGGGAGAGATGAGGCCTCAGAGGTCAGAACTCTGAACTTGGACTTCGTGCTGTGGACAGTGGCAGTCCCTTGAAGGGTTTTCTAATCAAAGGAGTGAGGTGGCCAGACAGCAGCTTCGGAAGGCTTCTTCAGGCAGCTAAGTGAAGAGGACCGTGGTAGGGTTGGGGAGGCCACTGGAAGGCCATTGCTATAATCCAGGCAGAGGTGATGCTCCTGGACCAGTGGAGATGCTGAGTACTTCTGTGGCTTCCCAGATCAGAAATGAAGTCCCTTCCTCAGGTTGCTGTGGGCTTACTGAGTGTCTTCTCCCTTCACAGAGACGGCGAGTGATGTGCTGACCAGCCTGCCGGGGGCAAACGTTACCCTGACCTGCCCCGGGGGGGAACCAGAGGACAATGCCACCGTTCACTGGGTGCTCAGGAATCAGGTCACAGGCTCACAGGATGGCAGTTGGACTGGCGTGGGAAGGACACTGTTTCTGAGGTCCGTGCAGCTCAGTGATTCTGGAAACTATTCGTGCTACCAGGGTGGCCGCCCAGTGGGAACCGTGCATTTGCTGGTGGATGGTGAGTTGTGTCCTTGGGGCTCTCAGTTTTCAGAGACAACTCTCAGCTCAGCTGCACTCATTCCAGAGAGAGATTCCCTGTTTGACCCTTTAAATTCCTGTTATTTCCTTGGCTCAAGGATTTTGGGGAAAGGCCCACTGACGTCTGCCAGTGAGACTGGTGCTTCCAGCTGTGTGGGGACGTCTGGCTGACGGAGAGGCCATCCAGCTGGCCTTGTGGGTTAGGGCTTGGGGACCAGGGTAAGGTGGCCTGGGTTTGAATCCTCCTCCTTCGCAGCTTAACTTCTCCACCCCTCTGTTTTCTTGTTGGTAAAATAAGGTTAATGGTATTAACTTGCTTCAGGGTTACACACACACACACACACACACACACACACACAAACACACACGGTGTTAAAAACTGCAGTAGCCCATAGTAAGCTCTCAAGTGAATTATTCTTATTTTAAAATTAGTAGGTTGTTAACTCCCTGGAATCTCATACGATATGCCAGAGTCAGAGGCCCTGTGTGCCAGGCCCCGTGCTGACGCACGTTCTCCTTTGGTGTCTTGTCATCCTCCCAATGACCTTGTGAGGGAAAGCAGTGTGATGATGATAATGATGATTTTATCATCATTTAATTAATTACTTGGGGGGCTTTAGTAATCTATATCTTTTAAAAATTTTTTAAATTAAATTTTATTTCTTTATTTTATTATTTCACTTTATAGTAGGAGACTGAAGAGAGGTTGGGACTTGCCCAAGGCCACACAACCTGGCCCGTGCAACGTGTAGGCCCCTGTTTTTTCAGTTGCTCTTGCTCCCCTGTAGGCAGGCTAGCGCCCCCCAGGCGCCTTCCTGCACTTGCCTCACGTCCTAGCCTGACGGAGGACTTTGCGCCCTTTACTTTGCTAGCAGGCTGGCTCCAGGGCCCGGGATGGGGAGGGGGCTGAGCCAAGTGCTCGCTCCAGAAGGCGGCGAGGTGCGCTGCCTCCTCACGCCTCTCGGTCCCTCCCTAGCGCCTCCCGAGCAGCCCCAGCTCTCCTGCTCCCGGAAGAGCCCCCTCAGCGATGTGGGTTGTGAGTGGAGTCCTCAGAGCCCGCCCTCCCTGACGACCAAGGCCGTGTTGCTGGTGAGAAGGTTGTAAGTATCTCGGAGGGGGGCTGTATGTTGGTGCCTCTCTCATCCTGACTGAGGCCCTGGGAATGGTGGGGGGCTCTCAGAGGGGCCAGGTGGACTGGCTGCCAGTGATCCCAAGTGTTAAGTGAAAGTAAGTCCTTTGGGCCCAGAAGGGAATGTGGGAGGAACTGAGACTTCCTGTCCAGGCTCACCTGTGCTGGACCTGGTGCTCCTCCGATGTTTGTCCTGCTAACAGACACAGTAGCCTTGAGGGGTGGGTGTTATTTCCCTCAGATGGAGACACTGAGGTTCACAGAGACTGATTAGCCTAAGGTCATCCGGCTAGTAAGTAGCTCTGCCAGGAACCCAACCCCAGTCTATCTGATTTTGTTCAGCATACAAAGGTTTTGGGTGTTGCTCTGCAGGGGATGCAAATATCCTTGGGTGGGGAAGGGCGGCCTGTGATCAGCGTCCCTACTGTGAGCTAAGCAGGCTCTTTCCATTATAATGGCAGGTGAGAGGAAGTGGTGATAGGGTTGGGAGAGGGGGCTGGGGGCAGCGGGGCAGAAGTCACACCTGTTTGGGGGTCCCTGGGGCACCAGGAGGCCTAAAGTGGGGGGACCTGGGATGAGGTCAGGCATGGATGTAGAGGAGGTGGAAGGTCACACCTCTGCAGTTTTCTCTGTCTCCCTCCCAGAGCTAAGGTCCCCTTAGTCCAGGCATTTATCACTGAATTCGAGCTGGCAGTCAGCCGGGTATCAAAACATCTGAGCAGTGGCTTCATCGGGGCGTTTTGGTTTCCCCTTATGTCTGTCTCCAGAGAGTCGCCTGGTGGTAATACTTATGTTTTGGTCTCTGTGCAGATACGTATAGATTGCCTGTCTGCACACAACGCAGCTGCCGTTAGGACTGTTAGCTCACACTGTAAATGGGGAAGGTCAGGAACCTCCACAACCCAAAGCTGAGTTAGGATAGAAATTGTCTGGGACCCGGAAGTCATTCCTCCATAGACAGCGTGTTCAGCACAGTGGCCGCAGCTATCCAGACCAGCCCAGGGAGAGCTTGTTCAACTGACACTTGAATACTTGGTGTGTTGACAGTAAGAGTGAGAGGGAGCAGGGCATTTTAGCTGACACCCTCCTCCCGCCAGCATCCTCGGGCACTTCTGTCCTCCTCCTGGGCTGTCTGCACTGATCCTGAGGAAGGGGGAGCAGGAGCCACTGCAAGAGCCTCAGGGCTCCCAGAACCTGCTCAGGCCCACCTGGACCCTGGGGCGGCTGGGGGTGAAATCAGACCCTTGGAAAGAGATTTTATGTCTTGAGCTGTTTTTCTCGTGTGTGCGCGCAGTCACACCCTCGCCCCACTGCGCTTACTCACTCATTGTCTCTCTAAGTGTGTTTGGTGAGTTCAGCATCTGCCATGGGCAAGGTGCTGTCCTAGGGCTGAGGGAGACACACGAGGCAAACAAGACTGGGCCCCTGCCCTCCAACCCCGCAGGGGGATACACCTGTAAGCCGACAGCCGCCAACTTCTCTGTGTTTGGAGGGACGATGTGATGCTGATGCGATGCTCCGGTGGTGGTAGAGGAAGGGAGGGAGGCTCTAACTTAGACTGGGAAGGTTGGGGCAGCATTCCCAGAAGGAAAGTGTTTGCCCTGGGCCCAGGTTCAAACTCAGGTCAGAGGTTGGTGGGTGACTCGTCACTGCGGAGGCAGGGCGGGTGGTTGCCGTGGCCTCACATGCCCACACATGTCATGCGTGGGAGGAGTCCCGGGCTTCCAGGCCAGGTGGGACAGTGTCTGACTCACCTTGAATATCTTCAACACCCAGAATTCCTTTCTGGGCTCCCCTGCCTGAAGTGTTCTCACCTCCTTGCAAACCCCTTTAGCACTTGGTGCTTCTGGGATAGCATTCTACTGGCTGTCCCAGTCATCTGGCAGGAGGGCTCTTTGTTAGCGCCTTGAGGCCAGAGTGGGGCCTCTTGATTCTGTTCTGCACCCGGCTCAGTGCCAAGAACACAGGACCTGGTGGGGAGCCGGCAGGCACCCCCTATGTGATGCCTCAGTGGTTGAGTGCGCCCTCTAGTTCAATGCCTGTGACCACCGTGCCAGGTGCTAAGCTAGGTGTTTTACAGTCATTTTTCAGTTAATCCTAACAAACCCCAGTGAGGTGGGTACTGTTAATATTCTCATTTTCAGATGAGAAAACAGAGGCTCCGAGACACTGGATGATTTACTCAAGAATCCCAAATGCCACTGAGTGTGGAGCAGGGATTCAAACCCCGGGCTCAGCCTGTAGAGCCTGACCCCAACCCCTGCCCCGTCCTCCTCGCCCCTCCTGAACTGGAGCAGAAACCGACACGAGCCCCGCCCTTGTTCTGTGTCCGCAGCCAGAGCAGTCTGGTGAAAGACTTCCAGAAGCCGTGCCAGTATTCCCAGGAGGCCCAGCGGTTGCTGTGCCAGTTGGCGGTCCCGGAGGGGGACAACTCTTTCTACGTCGTGTCCCTGTGCGTCGCCAATAGTGCCGGGAGCCAGGCCAGCAAACCCCAAACATTTGAGGGTTACGGAATCCGTACGTAAGCTCTTCAGGCCTCCCTCGCCCCTCCCGCTGTCTCCTTCTCTAGATTTCATGCTCCTCATGGACTTGTCGGAGGGGCAGGGAGTGGCTGGGTTTGGTGAGCTGGTGCCTTTTGGGCTCTCCTTGCCGGAGGTCTGACTGTGGTGGAATGGGCCCTGCCGGGATGTGCAAGGGGGACTGGTCTGGGGCTGGAGCTGGGGTCCTGCCTGCTGGGCACTTGCTGTCTTCACGGGCTCTCCTTTGCACTGCATTTGCTGCTGCACATGAGCCGTGCGCCCTCTTCCCACAGTGCAGCCTGATCCACCCGTTAACATCACGGTCAGCGCCGTGGACAGAAACCCCCGCTGGCTCAGCGTCACCTGGCAAGACCCCCCGTCCTGGAACTCATATTTCTACAGGCTGCAGTTTGAGGTCCGATACCGGGCTGAAAGGTCAAAGACCTTCACAACATGGATGGTAAAGTTTTCGTTTACTTCTGAACAGAAAAGAGCCCCTAAATACTCAGGGGCAGGAGAGAGAGAGGGCATTAGAAAGAAAGAAAAAAAAAAAAAAGAGTTCTGGGTCCAGCTAAGCCGCTCACTACCTGCATGACCTTATGTAAGTCTCTGAACCTTTCAGAGCCTTGGCTGCTTCATTTATAAAATGGGAATAATTTACAGGCCTGTTTGTGAGCGAGAGTGTGACCCAGGAAGAGAGATGGGCTATACATCAATATACGGGTGGCTTGCAGGATTCTGTGGTGCATGGGGGTGGGGGCAGTGACTTACAGCTTCAGTCCGTGTTGGCCCAAAGGGCAACCGCATCTGGCTCTGAGCCTCCGGGGGATGTGAGCCTTCAGAGCATCTCTGCTTGGCTGAGTCGCCCACCAGACGAGAGAGGGAGCAGCTGAAGGGCTGGAGTGGCCAAGGACTCCTGTGTCCCTGGGGAGCCGCCTAACTGGCGCCACCCAGGCCCCACCCCAGAGTCACCGTGTCTCCCACCCTCAGGTCAAGGAGCTCCAGCATCACTGCATCATCCACGACGCCTGGAGTGGCATGAGGCACGTGGTGCAGCTTCGGGCCCAGGAGGAGTTTGGGCATGGCTTATGGAGTGAGTGGAGCAAGGAGGCCACAGGCATCCCTTGGACAGGTATGTGATGAGCGCAGAAGGGATGTTTCCCCTTTGTTACTATAGCAATTATCTGTTGCTGTGGAACAAGTCACCCTAGCTGGTAAAGCAGCAACCATTTATCTGCTCAAGACTTTGAAATTAAGTCTGCTGGGCACCTCTTGTACTGGTCTTGCCTGACTCACTAATACAGCTGCTTCAGGCCTGTGTGGTCCCGGATGGGCCCCACTCCCACGCCTGACCTTTGGCTCTGGCTGGTGGCTGGGGCCCTTGGTTCTCCCTGAGGTCTGTCGCCTTCCAGCAGGCCCGCCCAGACTCAAGGGAGGAAGTCACTCCACAACTTGATCGGAGGAGCTGCAAAGAATTTGTAGCTATGCTTTTAATCTATCACAGTTACTGTTTTTTATTTAAAAAAGGATGTTAAAAGTAACGATAAGCACCCATGAGGCATTATTGCAATTAGTATGTTTGTTACAGAATATGAAAAATTTCAGGAAAATATAAAGAATAATTATCATTAGTATCCTTAAGCCTCTAGAGAAAACCAGTGAGAACATTTTACTATACTTCTTTCCTTTTCTAGGTACTTGTGTGTGTGTGTGTTTATGTATATGATGTTGTGAGCATTTCCAAGATATTAAATATTTGGGGGAAATAAATTGTTTAGCAACTGCATAATTAATGTTTTTTTTAACCCATGGGAATTTTTTTTAACTTTTAAGATTTTTATCAAATTAATACATGCCCATGGCAAAGAAGCAAAGGAGGGCTTATAAAAATAATAACCAATGGCCCTTGCCCCACCCTTTCCCATTTCCAGCCCTGCTTTCTGGAGGGAGCTGCTCGACTTGTTTCTAGTTCTTCTGTTGGTTCCTTCCTTCACTCTGAACAACAAACTAATACGGGTTTTTTTTCTCCAAGAAAATAATTTGAGACATTATCTTTTGACTCCTTTCTATGAAAGGTTAGGATTTAATAGACCTGGACCCCGTGCAGGAATCTCCTTGACCACAGCCCAGACAGTGGTCACCCAGCCTGTGCTTGAATGCTTCCAGGGGTGGAGAGCTTGCTGCCCCTTGTCGCAGCCCTTTCCATTGCCCCCAGTGGTTTGTGGGGTTTTTTTTTTATTTGTTTGTTTTTGTTTTTTTAAAGTATAGTTGATTTACAATGTTGTGTTAGTTTCTGGTGTACAGCATAGTGAATCAGTTATACATTTATATATATATTCTTTTTCATGATAGGTTATTACAAGCTATTGAATACAGTTCCCTGTGCTGTACAGTAGGACGTGGTTGTTTATCTGTTCTGTACACAGTAGTTTGTATCTGCTAATCCCTGTTCCCGGTGTTCTGATTGTAGAATGGCTTCCAGGCTCACTTCAGTGTCAGATCTCTTTGGCCCAGCAGCATAATTGAACCAAATCAGTTGTTCTTAAATACCAAGCAATTAAAAAAAAAGAATAAACTACTCATTTACTGAATGTATATAGATAAAAAGGAAAAGACAGACATGGCATCGATTGTCCAGGCCCATGCCTACCCCTGCCACGCTCTCCTAACCCTGGCCCTAGGGAGGTTTTTATACGTAGGCTGGCATTCCTCCCCTAGAATGGATGCTGTGATGTGCTGGCCTTTCCTCTTCCCTGGCTTTGCAGTGTGCAGTCCCTATCTTTCCTGTCCTGGGAGAGCCAGAGGAGTGGGCTTGGGGCTTAGGGTGCCTTCTTAATTGGATGCACGTGAGGTCAAGTGCAGGCTCAGATCTTTGTTGGTGCTGTCCCGCTGTCCTGTCCAGCAAGAGCAGGAGGCAGCTGTCTATTGGACCCTCTTCTCCAAAGTTTATTTCCTGCTAAGACCTGGACAAGAACGGAAGAACTAACTACTATACCTTACTTAGGAAGACCATTTAAATAAATCAGAATATCCTTCAGGCTAGATTGTGTTGACTTGTCTGTGGTTGTCTTTGACTTGTATACACTTTGAGCCAAAACATGCTCGTTATCTGAATGCCAAACATTAATCTGGCCTTGGAAGCCTTTTCAAGGGGAGCAAATCACTTGTATAACATTGTGCGGAGAAAGTGTTCCGAATACAGGCTGACATCTGTTTACCTTTTATCCCAGCCAGTTAATTTAGATGCTCACAAACAGCTTTAGGAAATCCTGTTTTGCCAGAGAGCTCTTTCTTTTCTTAAACTTTTAATTGTGGTAAAATATACATAATTTAAAAGTTACCGTTGTAACCATTTTTAAGCATGTAGTTCAGTGGCATTAAATACATTCATATTGTTGTGCAGGCATCACCACTATCCATCTCGAGAGCTCTTTTCGCCTTGCAAAACCGAAACTCTGTGCCCATTAAGTAGTAACTTCCCATTTCCCCTACCTCCAGTCCCGGGCGACCACCAGTCTGCTTTCTGCCTCTCTGAGTCTGACTCCTCTAAACACCTCATATAAGTGGGATCGTACTTGTCTTTTTGTGACTGGTTTATTTCACTTAGAATAATGTCCTCAGGAGTCATCCATGTTGTAACATGTGTCAGAATTTGCTCCCTTTTAAAGGCTGAATGATATTCCATGGAATGTATGTATCATATTTTGTTTATCCGTTCATCCCTAGATGGACAGTTGGGTTGTTCCACCTTTTGACTATTGTGAGTAATGTTGCTATGACTATGACTGTACAGATATCTGTCTGGGTCCCTACTTTCAATTCTTCTGAGTATATCTCCGGAAGTGGAATTGCTACATCAGAGGGTGATTCTATTTCTAATGTTTTGAGGAACCACCATACTGTTTTCCATAGTGAGTACACTTTTTTTTTTTTAACATTTGGTCATTCCTATCAGCAGTGTGCAGGCTTCCAATTTCTTCATATCCTTGCCAACACTTGTAATTTTCTGTTCTGTTTGTTTTTAAATAATAGCCATCCTAATGGGTGTGGTATCGTGGCATTGTGGTTTGAGTTTATATTTCTGTGATTAGATTGAGTATCTTTTCAAGAATAATGTTCTTTCTCCTGTGAACCTGATTTTGTCTCACTGGGCCTTGCTCTCCAGGGTTATCTCTGACAAGTCTGCTCTCTCTCTAAATTCTTCTGGAATTCCCAGGGTACCTACATCTGTTCCCAGGCTGCTGTGTGGGATGGTCTGTGCGCTCCTCACCCGTCTGGTCACGTCCCCTACAGCTGGTCTCATTTGTGGATACTCCTCTTTGAATTGCTGACATCCTCCCCCAGTGGAAGGGGCATGGTCTTTGTCTGACTTTTCAGCCCCAGATCGCTTTGCTTCTGTGACTTGCTAGAGGGACTGTGTAAGCTTGGACAGAACACTTGGCCTCTTCTCACATAAGCAGCTGAAGAGTTGGAGCACCCCATTCTGTACATATGTGGTTTCGGGGGGGTCTTCAGAACCCCAGTGGTGAATATATCCAACAGAGAGATTAGCTGCTCCCTCTCCACTGAGGGCAGAGCAAGAGAAACTTGGATGATCGATTCTGATGCCTGAGGGATTTAGACTGGAAATTGGGGGGCAGTTCTGGAAAATGAGAGGGTGGTTAGGTGTGTTTTGCTGCCAGTAGACTTATTTGGCTGTTAGGGACATGTCATTGCACTAGCTACTGCGTCAGTGGGCTTCCCAGCCCCAAGGACTTCCAGCCCTCAAGCCCAGACGGATAGGATGTCCCTGTCTAGGTGGGGGGGTCATGACACAGAGGTCATGAGAAATACACTGGACTTGGGAATCACGTTGTATGGCCTTGGTAAAGTTAGTTTACCTCTCAGAGTCTCAGTCTTGTCATCTGTAAAGTGGAGATGATATGATCTGTCTTGTCCCCTTTGAAGAGTTTTTATGAGTCCACTGAAAGAACATTCCTTAGGAGTAATAACCCGTACTGCAAATGAGGGGGATGCACAATTGCAGTGCTGGGTTGGTTGGTTCTTGGGATAAAGAGGCTATGAGCATCCCAGAATCGCTACCTGGGGTACAATCCTGGACACACTGAATCAGAATGTGGAGGGGGGTAGGGAATGGGTAGTGTGAGAAAGCTTTCCAAGTGATTATAGAATGTGCTAGGGACCTGGGGCAGCATCCCATTGTAATATGGTGTGATAAGCTGTGGAGCAGACAGTTCTTCGGGTGATTTAGAGAGAACAGAAAAAGCTTTGTGGAAGAGGTGACATCTGAGTTGTGTCTTGGAGGATGTATAGGAGTTTCCCATGTAGAGGATGGAGATTATAGGAGAGGGAACAGTGGGTGCAAAGGAATAGTGTGAACAAGGCCAGGGCTGTCGATGGGGGTGTGGGTGGGAGGTCCAACTGAGGCAGGCAGAGGCTGACTTTGGAAGGCCTGTAGGAGAGTGGGGGTGAGGGGACATGTAGAGGGGTGGGTGGGGGAGGGGACTGAGGAGCCTGGACTTCAGCGAGTGCTGCCCCCTTGAGGCCAAGTTCTGGCTGCACACAGGCTGTGGCCGCAGCAAGGTTCCCTGTGTGAGGGCCCGGCCCAGAGTCACCCAGTCTTGGGTGACTTGGGCCCCTGCTCCAGCTAGCAAGGCCAGGTGACTGCTGATAGCACCTGCTGCAGTGACTCATCGAGGGCTAATGTCACCCTGGTGTCAGGGCAAGAAGAGGAGGTTACACATTGACAGGCGGCTGGTTAGCAGCTCCTTCCAGAGCGGGAGTTCTCCTAGATTTATCCTCTCTGACAGTACCACTGGCAGGGCTGCACCGGCAGGGCTACATCAGGCAAGTCTGTGGACCCTTTACACAGCGAACCTGCGGCAAAGTACCTGGGAAAAGTCCTTGGGCTTAAGATGGTTATTTCCTACTCCTCACAAACGCCTTTAACTCCCTCTCACACCCTGTTCACCTACACCCGGAAAATCATTAGAACCTCCTGTGACTGGAAGAGAGCAGATTGGACCCATTCTTGGGAATCACACTGATGGAGGAGGTGGTAGAAGCTGGCATTCGCTAGGCGGGTTGGGGGCCCCTGAGGCCAGGGCTGGAGACTGTCTGGGCAGGTCGGTCTCCCTGGCCTAGATCCCTGCAGCCACGTACTATCACTTCAAACTCTCCGATCATCTCATTGTAGGAGAGTTCATTCTGTTCCTCTCCTCAGCACCCACAAGTGGGAAATGAGCAGGTTGAAGAGCATGTGGTAGCGTCGGGGAGGGTATAGCTCAAGTGGTAGAGTGCATGCTTAGCATGTATGAGGTTCTGGGTTCCATCCCCAGTACCTCCTCTTAAAAATAAATAAATAAACCTAATTACCTCCCCTCCAGAACAAAACAAAAAAAGAGAGCATGTGGCTGCATATCTCTGAAGAGGTCTGGCCCTATTCACCTCTCAGCGTGGCATCCCCTGCAGTGCTGTTTTCCATTGTCTTCTCTGCGTGCCGGTTCCATGGGGTGGCCTGGCTGCCGCCACCCTGTGCAGTGTTGTCTCTGGGCATCAGGCAGACTCGGCTCTGGATGCCCTGGCCCCACTAGCGTGACCTTAGGGAGGTACCTGATGGAGCTTAGTGGGAGTAATAATGCCTGCCTTGACACCCCCAACCCCAAAGCCCACCTCCCAGAGCCCAGCACGTGGGAGTGTGTCCCAAAGACCAGCATCGCGGGGATTCACTGTGTCCCAGGCTGCACTGTCTCCTGGGCTCCAGGTTCATGTCTCCACTCTGCCCAGCCTGGGCCTGGGGCCTCCTTCACAAACCTCCCTGTGTCCTTGTCCAGCGAAGGACGCCACCACCCAGCCTGCTCCCCCCTGAGCCAGGACTTCCCCCCGCCACTGATCTCTGTTGAGCCCCCAGGCATCCCCCCCACTACTGCCACAGGCATCTTTCTAGATCACAAGCCTGCGTCTGTCACTCCCCAGCCTATAGCCACGGCTCCCGTTGCTTTCCAGGTGCCACTCAAACTCCTGCGCGTGGAGCAGAGGGCCTCGTGCCTGGCTGTCCCTCACTTACCTCCCTCCCTCCGGCGGGACTGACCTGGCCCAGTGCCTTCACACGCTGCATCGTCATCTGTGAGGCTCCCCTTCCTTCTATGCACAGCTCCCCACCTCCTCCTCCCACACCCGCCCTGTCCGCCCCACCTCTGCACACAGCTCAGAGGTTACTGGGGCTTCATGTGTCCATACAATTTCAAAAAGAATTCTGGGGACCAAATAAGATCGCCAGCTTTTAATTTTGCCAAGTAAGGACATGAAACTAAACAGTTAAGTAAAAAGGAGCTGTTGCCACTGACCATCACCATCATTTCATAAAATAGAGGATGAAACGAGGGCTTAAACTCAGAAGGAAGGACACTGGCCACCTTGCACCACGGAGACATCCATGCTGCCCTGTCCATCTTTTTCTCCTTTGGCCTCAGACCAGTTGGCTTCTCTACAGACCAGTCTGGGAGACTTTTGGGACCCAGCTGGAGGTGATTTATTTCTCAGGAGATTGTCAGCTCCTCAGTGAGGTTTTTGGGGTTTTGGTGTTTTTTTGTTTTGCTTTGTTTTTCACAAATGGAGGAGCCGTGATTAACTTTCTGGTTGGTGGTTTACAGGCTGTGAGGGAAGGTGTGAAGCTCAGAGTGGAAGGTGCCGCTCGGCGCTGCTCAGTCTGTGGGTCTCCGTCTCCCCCGCCCCCACCCCCTCTGTGTGAATGTCTGGCTTTGTGGTGTGTCCCTCTCTCCTTGTCCCTTCATCTGTCTGCCACCCTCTGGCATCCTTTTTCTCTCTTTCTCCTCTTGTCCTCAGCCCACTCCTCTCTCCCTTCTCTGTACTCCAAGCCCTGAGCCCCGGAGCCCATATCTTAATATACAATTTAAAAATACTGTGTCAGAAAAAAATGCTTTATGTTCTCTGTTCTGAGTTTTGAGAGTCGTGTCAGGTATTACTGTGTCCCAGGCCAGTGCTAGGTCCTTTCAGCCTGTGACCGCAGGTGATCTGTGCAGGAGGAAGCCATCCCCTTGCTTAGAAGTGAAGAAACAAGGTCCCAAAGAGGTTGAATGTCTTGAGTGAGGTTACCCATCTGGTGTGAAGGCCTCTTTTGTACTGGACGTCTCTATTCTAAAATCCAAGCAAGCAAACCCAAACCAATTCTCAAACTATCACAAATAAGTTTCTTGTTTTAAAAACCCACGTGTGGAAAAAACTCATGTGTAGTCTTTATTAACCTTACTTATTGGAGTCTGGTCATTCATTCATTTTGTTATGAATATAAAAGTACATCTTCCAACCTTGGAAATATTAATACAGGGAACACAGTCAGCTGCAATCACTGTTAAATCTTTTTTCCAAGTGCTTTTCCATAATTGAAATATTGCTAACGATACAGTTTTTCAGCAAGATGCCTGCCTGTGTTTTAAGTACTGCGTTTACCAAGGTGAGTAAGATACAGTCTCCAAATCTGAGAAATGTTCAATCTAGAGATGATTTTTTAAGATAAAGAATAAAAAAGTTTATTCTTAGGGCCAGAAAGCTTTCTCACTTATTTCTTACAAAACTCCAGGCAAGTTATTTAACCTCCCTGTGCCTCATTTTGCCCATCTGTAAAGTGGGGTAATAATGGTACCGATCTCAGAGGGTTGCTGTGAGGACTAAATGAATTAAGTCATGTAAAGTAGGTAGAGTGGTACTTGGTGCATAGTAAGTGCTCAGTGAATGTTAAGCATTGTTGTCACTGTTGCTGTTACTGTTGTGTTACCGCCACCACTATCTCTGCCCCTGTTACTTCCTGGCACATAGGGGGCACGTGGGGGCCAGGGAATGATAGTTCCTTCCTCTCTTTCACCCGACATGCTAGCTGAAGTGAGGCATTAGGAAATATAAAATACTTTAGGAGAAATATGATATACTTTTGTCTAAAGAGAAAAAAGTATGCTCCCTGGTGTTACCAACGTTCTACTGCCTTCCTAAGCCTCTGTGTCTTTGTAAACATGAAATGATAGTACCCGCCTCTTACGATGCTGTGACTGTGAAATGAGATGCTAATACAGGCAAATGAACCACTTGGAACTGGGGTATAGTGAGCTTCCACAAAAATTGGTACTAGAAATATTAGTGATATTTTATTTGTATGCTATTATTAATCTCACTTTTCCCCCGAACCCCAGTTTCTTCATCTGTAAAATGGGAATGATTATTATTAATAACAATGCAAAAGCTCCTCTTCCTTCCATCTCGGGGGACAAAATGATCTGAGTCCGGGGTCCCCATGGTTATCTAGGGAGCTTTTTAGAAGGTCTTGGTATGAAGGACAATCTTACTATGCATTAGAAAAAATTTATTCATTCTGCTAACATTCTTGGATTATTTGAGCAAAGATTCCCACTTTCTCCCAAGAGATCTGAGCCACCAAAGGTTAAATGTCCTTTTTTGCGTAACACACTATGCTGGAGGCCAGAGCTGAGGGTAGAACTTACGCGAGTCTCCCTTTCTTCTAGATACCTGTTTAGGTTTGGGAAACATTTTAAAATGCTGATGCCTGAATCCCATCCCCAAAATCCTAAGGTCATAGCTCAAGGATGGGACCTAAAAGGCCACAGATAATGCTGAACAGACCTGGGTTTGGGAAATACTGGACTGAATGATCATCCGTGGTCGGCCATATTTCCTATGTAGTGCTGCCCCGGGTCCTAATTTTAGTTTTCATTCTAGTGTCCCCCTACCCTCTGTTCATCCTTCAGTCATCCTGTTATGAATCTAACTGTTCTCTGCTAGACTGGGCTGGGAGGAACACAAAGGAGTAAGAGACCGTGCCCCTCTCATTTATCCTAGGTTGATTTTGGGTTAACTTTCTGTGTGATCTTGGGCAAGTTGCTTTCCCTCTCTGGGCCTCTGTTTCCTCTCTAGGCATTGGAGAAGGAGAACATGCTCTTATGTCCCTTCCAGCGCTGCTAGTGTGTGGTTTTCTCCCCTCCTGGGGATGGCGCACACCCTCTGGTGATTCTGTCCTGAGCAGGAGCAGGGTCACCCTCTCCTCCATCCCCTCTGCTAGTCTTTATTCTACTTCTGGCTTGGAGAGGCTCGACATCTTTGTGTAAACCATTTCTGTGGTATTTTTAGTTTCTTTATGGAAAAATAATAAACTGAAAAGAAAATACTTGAAAATCCAGAGCATTCCACCCATTGCTTGTCGCGGTTCAGCGCCTGGTCCCTCGGGCCCGTGTTTGCCGCTGAGCCTGGCCCCGTGTCAGTGCTCTCGCTTTGATACTTGGCCCTCTGTGGTCTTGGTGGTTTCTGCAGAAACACGGTTCCCATGGGGAGGAGGGGCCTGGGAGGGGGCTCAGTCCACCTCCCTTCTCCCGCAAAGCATACTAAACCCACCCAGGCAGCTGAGAATTTGCTGTTTAAATAAATATTTTTATTGCAAAAAGGTGCATAGAAGGAGATTAAAATGTTACTAGTGCTTATATCTTATATCTGAATTCTTCCTTTTTTTTTCTGAGTGTGAATATATTATGGTAAGTCATATAAGATATGAATAATGATATAACTATGTTTCTTTAGAAACTTTGGATCAAACTTATATGAAACTTTTTCTTGTCTTTCATTTTTCATGTAACATTATATCATGTTCTCAACTGTTTTCTAAAATATTTTTAAAGACTTCTGCCATAAATGGCTATGTCATAATTTATATAGCTGGTCCTTTAGGGTTGGATATTTGGTTGATTCCAACGTAAAGCTCTTTTGAATAACACTGTGATGAGCTTTATTTTGCTTCTGAAGCGCATGAGACAGGACTTCAGGGTCCATCAGTCATTAATCATGAATCTTCTACCCACAGAATCCAGGAGTCCTCCAGCTGAGACTGTGCAGCCCCCCTCCACACAGGTGAGCGCACGTCCTTGTAAAAGGATCTTGGCAGCAGCCTCTGGTGTGTCGTGTTGTGGGCTGGCATCGGGCAGAAACTGGTCCAAATCCCAGCTCTGCCACTTTCTAGAAACATGGCCTGGGGCAAGTTGCCTGTCTTTCATGCCTCTGTAAAGCAGGGGAATACCTCTCTTGTCCTGTCCGGAGGATGAGGGCCATGTGAAGCGTGGAGTGGTACCGGCCTGGCTTGCAGAGCCGCTCTGTGTCGAGTGGTTGCTGTTTCATCCCTGAGCCTCTGGACACCAACACACAGCTTAGCTTGTGACTCAGATTCAGTTCGTCTGAGCTCTTCCCCTGTGGACTCCCGGTGTCATAATTTTCTGGAAAGAGGATTACTCCTGAAGCTGCTTAACAAATCCTTGAGTAATCCAATTTCCCCTCCAACTACGTCTCCGCTCTGGTCTTTAATTCTCTACACACTAAGCTGGGAGGCTCAGTCACCCCTGCAGCTGGGCACCACAGGGTTGGGTTCTGCACCTTGACCGTATTGGATGTGGGACTGTCCAGGCACCGGCAGAAGCAGCTCCCGGGTGAAGCCCGTGCCCGTGGGGCCGGAGAGTGGAGGGAATTGACCTGGAGAATTTGTTACGCTGTGCTAGACTCTGAGCCTGGCATTTGCTTCCTCATTTCATCCCTGCGTTACCTGAGATTTGGATGCTGGGACGGTTGTGCCTACAGGGAGGGAAACTGACACCCGCGTGAGTTAAGAAATCTGCTCAGGGTCACACAGCTGGTAAGCGATGGATCTAGGATTCTAGCCTGTGCTTTTCCCAGTGGTACCTATGCCTTGGCACCAGACCCGTAAGATAACTACTGCTTCAGGGTATCTATTGAGCATCTCTGTGGAAGGTGCTATGCCCTTAAGCTCTTGGTGGAGAGGCAGATGGGAAGAAGTCCCCACCTTGAATAGGCAAGCGGTGGATACAAATAATAGTGCAGAAGCTGAGAGTGACAGGTCAGAAATGGAGCGGTTCAAGAGCTAGAGAAAGGAATGCCTTGGGTGGACCAGGGAGGGGGTTCAGGAGGAGGTAGCACCTCATTTGGGTCTGGAATGGTGATGGAATCCACAGAAACAGGCTTATAGACAGGCATGTTTCTTCTAGGCACCTACTACTAATGAAGATAATGAAAATATTTTCTACAAAGATTCCGCAAATGCCACAAGCTTCCCAGGTAAGAACCAAATATTTTTGTGTTCCTATGGCCTAAGGGGCAGAAAAGAATGTCTGCAGAAAGTCCTTTTGGGGAATATAGGCAGAGGGCCAGTCCTCTTGATGAAAAGAAGCAATGGCAGAAGTATTTTTATTACTTTATACATCTGCATTTGATGTTGTCAGCTAAGATCAATGATGAGACCGCAAGAAGAGTGGGATAAGTCAGTGGTATGTTTTGCAATGGGCCCAGAATACAAATGAATGTGCTGCAAAATTTATTGGAGTCCGAAATGGAATACACTTTGAGGGAAATCTTTGTTTTGGGTGCCCTTGACTTCAATGCCTGTGATTCCCCGTACCTGCAAGACCAGGAAAATTTACCAATATTTGCATCAAGAAAGGTCCCAGGTCCTATATTTCTTTTACTATATGTATGGGACTTGTGGAATCCACACTCTGGAGGCTCGGTAGTTGAGGAGGTCCACCTGGTGGCTCTGGGCTTCTGAGGAAGCCCTTGGCCTCCTCCCCTTGCCTGGGCAGATCGCTGCCACACCCGATGCTGGCCGCCTGTGCTCTGCCATCCTGGTTACAAAGCCCCACCTGGTGCAGTGCACGTAAGCGGACCTACTAAATCCCTGGGGCTGAGCTCTGCCTGCACAGCTGGGGACTCAGAGGGAACTGAACCCATCCCTGCTCTCCAGGAGTCTACAGTCCGGGGGGCAGGCTCCGGCAAAGAGTGAAGTAGTGGCTGTAACAATGTGAGACTGGCGAAAAGAGAGCCATAGAAAAAGCAAAGTGAGATTTAGAGACTTGAGAGTGCCTGGCCGCTAGGGGGAATCACAGAAAGTTCATGGAAGAGGTGCCATTTGAAATGAGCCTTGAATGCTGTGGGTGGGATGGCAGGAAGCTGGGCAGCAGTTCAGGGGCCTCTGTGGAGAAGGGACCCAAAAGACCATGGTCTTTATGTCAGTAACTGACACCACATTCTCTGGATATCTTCTTCTGCTTCCTCTTCTGCCCGTCTTCCCATGTGCACTCCCTCAGCAGGTCCTGTCCGTTGTACCTTTGTTGCCGAAAGATCACCCCTGTCTCTGATGAGACAAAGAATTCAGAGACCGGGTCTTGGAGCTTAGAACAAAAGAGGCAGCTTTATTGCTTTGCCAGGCAAAGGGGATTCAGAGCAGGCTGGTGCCTTCAACACTGTGACCCCACCTTGGGGTGGGTATATAGCATAGCTCAAACAACAAGGCATCGATAACAATCAACAGAATCATTTTCTCATCAGAAGACTTAGAATGACGTCATGATGCCTCCAGGTGACCAGTTCTGCAGAGGCCAGCGCTTAGATCTCTTTATCTCGTAAGCACTCAAGTCTTCTTGGTATTCAGCCTACTTTGTAAGGTTACAGCTCTGTGACCTTCTCCCTGGAGATTGACTCAGAGACCAAGCATGATTATAGCTTTTGGTTACTGGAATAAGGTAGAAACAGTAAGATCAACAGCTTCAGTTTTAACAGTGGGCCTGGAGCTGTGAGTAGCAAGTCAGTCAGGTCAGTTGACCGTTTAAAGGGCAAGCATAAGAATAAGCACCCTGTTAGCCTAAATGTGGCCGTTTTATTTAATCCTCCTTCAAAATCCCCACTGTCAGTTTCTCTTATTCCGTTTCTATGGAACTAGGGAGATGGGCGTCGTGCTCATCTGGCTGCTTCCTGCTGAACGGGGGCCTTGAAATGGAACAAGCAAACCTGATCTTGCCATGTGGCTGGGAGTTCAAAATGAGCAGCTAAGGCTGCTTTGTTTTCCACACATCAGACAACAGAAACAATCTAAATATTAGAGATATACTGACTCCTGTTAGCAGAAGTGATAACAGAAACTAGAATTCCCCTAAGAGCAGATGTGAGACCTTGGGATTTCCAAAGAGGCCAGAGAACCAGGGATTAACTTGAGATGTAACTTCTCACACATATGCAGCTGAATTCCCTACATTATATATTTGTTGCTTCGTGTTCTCCAGGGCAGTTGTGATGTTCCTGGGTTCATCTGGTATGAAAGTACAACAGGCAGTGTGGATCTAGAAACTCAGTAACTACCAGAGGAGAGGAGGGTGGGTATAGCTCAAGTGGGAGAGCACATGCCTAGCATGCCCGAGGTCCTGGGTTCAATCCCCGGCACCTCCACTGAAAGATGAAATAAATAAATCAATCTAATTACCTCCCCCCTGCAAAATAAAATAAAATAAAATTGTAAGAGGAGAACTTAAATCCATAAAGTTGCAGCTAGAAGTTGCCAGCAGTCACTGCTTTGAGAATGGCTGGTTGCATCCCAAATTTGACACAGCTCAGAAAACTCAAGTTCTCAGCAATACAGAAACTTGTCTAAAATCACAGTGGTTACCTAGTTTTACTCTGGATGTCTGAACCACAGTTATTCCATTTTGATTTTCAAATGCATTTCTCTCCTTAATGGCCAAAGCAGATGTCACCATTAATAATTTTAGTGTTTTTCTAGCTATGAGGAGATGCAAGAATTTGGGCTCATAAAATCTCCTGAAAATATCTAACCATCTGAAGGCCTATTCAGCCAGTTTTCCCAGAGCACAGAGAGCCTCATTCCTGAGCTCCACCCTGCGCTTCTTTCAGGGTATCTTGAAGTTCAGAGACCTCAGCAGCTTGCAACTTAACCCCTGTAGAGGCAGATGGCAAGTGCCCCCATGATCATAAATTAGCCCATGGCCTGGGAGGCATTTCATGACCACTTTATCCCACGGTGCTGGGAGCCTCATTCCTAGGTCAGGCAAGGATTTCATTGACAGGCCACTCAATGTGCTGTTACGGGACTAGGCCGTATTAACAGTAGCAGGAAGTCTCTGGGCCACCTATCTTACTAGCCTGTTATGGTCCAGGAAAATATTCCCCCTTTTTGCTTCTTCCCATGTTTAGAGTAACACCATTATAATCACAAATCTCCTATAGAACTATATGTCTGGTTACTTAAGAAGAAAGTTTATATTTATGGCCAGGGTTAGAGCAGGTATTAATTGGCCAAGAGAGGAAATCCTGCCTAGTAATATTACTAGGGACCTGAACGAAATTTTAATCTCTTTTCTCTAGGATGAATTTCCTAAAAGCTTGCCAGTTAGACCCTTAGAGTAGAGAAAATCCACCAAGGTGACCCCGAAGTACTGGACCTAGTTAGTTGACCATAGACCTAACAATTGGAGTAACTTTAGTTCTACATAAGATTGTGAGATACAGTTAGTTCCTAAGCAAAGGTGTGAGCGATTTTCAAGTAAGTGAGGCCTGGTCTGGTGTCTTGGGTCAGCTGTCTACCTCAGGTGTCGTCTTCTCATCCTGGTCTGGGAGCTTCTACTCCATGGAAGCATTGCTTTAAGGGGAGCAGTCCTCTGTAGGCCAGTCCAGTGCAGGGGCTCTTTCTGACTGGAAATTAATCCAAAAGTCAGTTTCCTTCAGTTGCGGCCGTGCATGGGCTAGTTAAGAGACCTGATAAATGGTCCTTCCATGCAGGATGAAGATAGTTCTTTAAATTATGTCTATTCTAGTATGTGATGGGGCATCTGATCTTCATCCAAGGATAGGTTTCTGAGCTTCAGAAACAAACCTAGGGTGTCCTTTTAATAATTCAATTAAACTTTGCAACAATATAACAGCAAGGAATGATCTGAGAAGTGAGTCTTGGTAAATACAGATCTCAATTAACAAAACTAGAATTTAATATCCACTGAAATATAATCTTTTTCTCTTTAAGGTTACCCTCATTTTTATCAAATATAGCCAAATAAAGATAATTCATCATAGAGGCTCTTTTAAATTGGCTGTGTTGAAATTCCTCAGAAAGAGTTTCAATTTCCAAAAGGCCTCAAGGCCAGGAAAGTCACAGCAAGGACCTGTCACGGATTTTGTCTTACAGATTTAGGTGAATTTCTCCCCTTTTGAGGTCCCCAAAATACCTTGAGATTTCTGCACTTGTTAGAAGGTGACCTTCCTAAAATTTATCTAATGAAACTTTTGGGAAGATTTTCCAATCCCTGGAAGGATCAGGGAAAGAGAAAAAGATAAATGTTTTAATTCTACTTACAAAAGTATAGTTTACCAAACTGCTATAAGTCATAATTAGCTTGAGAAGAGCTTCTTTATATCTGGAGAACCCAAATTTAAGGCCAGCAATATTTCAGACAAAACCAAAAATTATAACCATATTCATCAGTTTACTCAGTCCCATGTAACTAATCCTTTTTTAAATAGTTTTATGAAGTCGAGAGTTTCCATCAGACTTTAAAAATTTCTTACCCCATTTAGTTCAGTGCTATAATCTGAAATTTATCAGAAACCAGTAAGTCTTGAAAGCATTTTGCAAAAGCATCAGAATAAAACAGTAACTGTCTATAAATGACAAAAGACTTAAAAGCATGGTTAAATACCTAGTTACACTGTAATCGATAAAGAAACCTGGTTATAATAACCAGAATTATGACTGGTAACATACCAGACATACCAGGTTTTTAGGGCTTCCATATGAATTTTTAGAACATCTATATTAATAATATTTTCTCATACACTATAACCTAAGAAGATTTATTACTCATTTGACAGTACTTCCCATGTAACTTAACTTACCAAATGAAACTTACTAGTTTAAAATCTCTCTTTGGGATGTTTCGGGGGCCCTCTGAAGCATCCCAGAGTTAGCTGGAGGTCAAAAGAATTCTGATTAAAATTTGATATTTGGGAAGCTTGTTAAAAAGTTTCAAAACACTTGGTCAGATAAAAGCATAGGTCACTGTGAAACATTGCTTATTCATTAACAATAAAATATTTCAAAGGTAAATACAGAATAGATCACTTAAGGGGTAAAAGAAACTTTACAATCTGTTACTAAATGCAGATTAACATTTTAAGAAAACTTTGTCCTCTTAACAGAGAGAGAGAACCAAATATAGTCTTGTACCAGCTTACTTCTAAGATTCATTTAGTTGACTAAATTTATTCTAAACTTAGCC